GGGGGGGGGGGGGGGGGGGCAATTCCTTTAAGGGCTGTTCATGGAATAGCAACATAAAACCCAGATGATAAGTTCACATCATGAGCAAAAACAAATATTCTACAGAATAAATGAAAAGAAAGTTTGTGCTGCTGCTACTTGACAACCAAATTTAGGTGCAAAACATGGCAGAATGCACCTTTCAGCTGGTGTCCCAGATGACACAGGACAAGCAGGGCAGACCATCAATAATAAAATACAGTATAAATCGAGTCTCAGACCAATGATTCAATATTTAAAAACTGTTCTACAAAGTCACATTAGAACATTTAATTTCTTTTCATGAAGAAGCGCCACGTAAGATGCACAAGATCCCAAGACATTCTGCCGTTTATCAGTAAATGATGAGGTACTTCTTAACGGATAATTTATTCATGGAATGAAACCCAGATGGGACGTTTAACAAAAATGAAGTCAGACAACTCTTGACACTTTTTCTTAAAAATTAAAAAGATAAAAAAGGAAAATGTATGACGTTAATGATTTTAATCTTATGATAGCCCTTTTTTTCCTTTTCAAAGATGCCAAGGGCCTTAACAATGTAAACTGAATTTTAAAAAAAAAATGTTTTATCGATTTAAAAAAATTTATGATACTGTATAACGCCTTTAATGTTTTGAAACCACAAAGAAAGACAGGGTGCTTCCCAAGCGGTATAATAAAAAAAATACATTTTTTTTACATTTAACATTCAACCTTTAGCAAAAGCAGCAATTAATCCAAGCAGAGTATCACGTTAGTGGACAGACCCTTCTGAATTCCTGCTCTGTACCCAACCACAGCTATTAGCTTATCACCCGCAAAGGCTAAATTCTGTGTGTTCAGCATATCTTACATTTGGAATGTTTGGAAAGCTTTCACAGCCTCTAAAATCTTCCTATTTAGCTACATCCAAATCTGTGGGCAGCTTACAGTCTGTTCACTGGCCATCTCATGCACATTTTGCACAAAAATGGCAAGAGCTGCAAAATCGCCGCTTCCAATCCGGTCGGCATGTGATACGTGACTTCTGGGAGTCACCGCCAGTGACTGGAAACAAACAATGTTCACGGCCATTACAGCTTTCAGTCTTTAACTAATGATCCAGCCCTAAGTGTCCATACATTTTAAAGAAAACCCTCCATGATATCACTTTATATCATTCACGGCTGCGGTGTTTGAGAAATAGCAGCTCACGTTTGAGAAATTCGCTGTAACATGCATGGACACTAACTGTAAATAGACGCAATAAGAATAGACCATTTTATGGCCACCGTTGTCTCAATGAACAATACATGCTGCATCTGCCGAATGGAGTCTGACTAGTCTGACTAAAACATTTAGGGCCAAAAAGAGCAGTTATGTCATTCTCTGGTGAGTCCACATAAGGGTCGGGATGGAGTAAAGTGATCTGCCAAAAGAAACAACAAATCAGTAAGACCACAAAAAGAAATCGGGCTTCACTGGGCAGAAGCTCTTAAGATCAGTGGGGGATCTCAGGGGTTTTATATTGAAGATAACTGTAATTGAAAGTACTGATTTTGAGGTCATTTTATTTATAGTCACACATATAAATATATAAAGCATAATAAAATACATTATAATATGATACAGTTGTTCTAATTACCATTAATTTTCTTCAGCCTACTAGTAGTCCTTCCATAAATAGCTATTACATCATGAATAAAATTATAAAAATGACACAACATCATTCTTTTTATATCCACTAATGTATAAGTCACTTTTTTAAAATCCTGTACAAATTCTTCAGGATCAAAATCTGGAAAAGGTATTTCTTTGCTGTCCTTGCAACCTAAACCCCTTCTTTGACTTTTAATATTCCATAATGCATGTTATATTTAGAATATGTAGGCTAATCATATTTCTAAGGCAGCTAATGCATCAAACTGTCCTATTAACTGCATCTACAGTAACTGTTCTTTGTCTAAATTTATTTACTTTTGTGTTATTGGCTCCAGAGTGCTTTACATGACAGCAGTGCATTATAATTAGTTCAGTGAGAACTGTATATAGCCAACGTATTAAATCCAGACTTAAACATGATTAAAGTGCATGTTTATAGCTAAAGTGAAAGAAACTTGAAACTGAGAATAAGTCATTTCAGATTCACTGAATATATGCAATACATTTTTCTAATTTCAGTTTGTATTTCCACATGAAAAAAGCATCAACAAGCACTTATTTAAATAATGTTTTATGCATTAAAAAAGCTAAAACAACCTCAAAAACAAGCAAATAGCTATTACATCATGAATAAAATTATAAAAATGACACAACATCATTCTTTTTATATCCACTAATGTATAAGTCACTTTTTTAAAATCCTGTACAAATTCTTCAGGATCAAAATCTGGAAAAGGTATTTCTTTGCTGTCCTTGCAACCTAAACCCCTTCTTTGACTTTTAATATTCCATAATGCATGTTATATTTAGAATATGTAGGCTAATCATATTTCTAAGGCAGCTAATGCATCAAACTGTCCTATTAACTGCATCTACAGTAACTGTTCTTTGTCTAAATTTATTTACTTTTGTGTTATTGTCTCCAGAGTGCTTTACATGACAGCAGTGCATTATAATTAGTTCAGTGAGAACTGTATATAGCCAACGTATTAAATCCAGACTTAAACATGATTAAAGTGCATGTTTATAGCTAAAGTGAAAGAAACTTGAAACTGAGAATAAGTCATTTCAGATTCACTGAATATATGCAATACATTTTTCTAAATTCAGTTTGTATTTCCACATGAAAAAAGCATCAACAAGCACTTATTTAAATAATGTTTTATGCATTAAAAAAGCTAAAACAACCTCAAAAACAAGTCTTATTGTGAACGATTCATTCATGCATGTTTTAATTTTCGGAATTTTTTAATTAAAATGTCATAACTCGATTTTCCAGTGAAATGACAGACTTATCTCTGGTGATATATTTTGGATTTAGTCTGCTTAAACCCCTCTCTTTTCTTACAAGTCCCTGCCCAACATGTTTCCTTTTCAATGCAAAAAAGATCTGTCGTTACTTCAATTTCATTGCAATATTAACTTGAGGATACATGTTCCTGGATTCACATCGTTTGTTGTTTCTACACTGAAAAAAGTTGTAGAAACAATTTTGGTAACACCATACTTAAAGCCTTTGTGTATAATGCACTATTAAGGTATTATTAAGGCATTGTAATGCATTATATCTTTTCACAAATGATTATAACCAAAGTTAAAATGCATTGTAATATTTGAAGGTATGGTTGTAATGTGCCTTTTTGTGTCTTTTTATATTTTCTAAAGCTGTAACAATGAATAGATAAGTATTATAATATATTATACTTTTTAATACAATTATTCATGAGATCATACAATGCAATATAAGGTGTGTTACAAGACACAATTAATGCATTACAACTACTTTTATAATGCATTATATAACAGTGTTACCAAATTCCTGTTTCACTTAGGAATTGCTAGTAAATTCACAATTAATTACAATGAAATGGCAAGTAACACATTGAATTAAATATGAAATTTTGAAATAGAAAGACTAAAATTGTACTTTCTTATAAAGCATACTCCAATAATCTTCGCAACTTCAGAAAATATTTTTTATGGCGTGTCTAACCAGTAATTGCCCTCTGATTTTATGGTTATGATTGGTTGACAGGCATGACATTTCTGGGAGGTTGAAAGCATTAAGTAAAAACGAATCAAGTTGATTACTGATTGAACTACTTTAATGATCAAAAACATTAGAAGACTAGAAGCTGTGATTAATCTTTTGACTCATTCTTTCTGTCCACTGTATCATTACACCAGCTACTATTGACAAGTAATATAATCAGAGCACTAAATGTAAATTGCCCAACATTAGCCACTGTTTACAAGTGCATGGAAGTGAACAAGAATTATTCATTCACTTAAAAGATTCATTCAGAGAACATTTTACTCACATGTAGCGCAGGTGAGGGTTCTGCGCAAATGCACGTGCCTGGATTGTCCGTAAACTGCAGTTTATTATTGTCCTGAAAAGAGAGAGAGAGAGACTATCATATGTGACCTGTGCTGGCAAAATTAGTTACAATGATAAAAAAAAGAGTTTTCAAAATGATGTATGATTTGTTGGAATAAAAATGAAAAATGACTGAGCTACACCTGTTTGAAATCGATGGAGTCAGCAAAGTAAATTTAGAGAAAAATTATTTAAAGTTTTCTGATGGTTCCAAAGCAAAATCATCTAGCAACATTACATCTTTCCCCCCACTTCTTTTCTTAATAATCAAAACTAGATTAATTATCACAATATTTTCAGACTTTGTTCCTTGTTTTGTGTTTGTTTTGCTCCCCATGTGCCTTCCTTGCCCTTATTTGGTTTTCTTCCTGTTCCTGCTCCCTGCTTGTTTCTCATTTGATTCCAGGTGTGTCTCGTCTTACTCTGATTAAGTTGTGTATTTAAAGTGTTTCCTGTTTTGAGTTCCTTGTCCGGTATTGTTCGTACGAGTGCTACGTGTGTTTTCCTTCAATTCCCCTGAGTTCATTAAAATCTCTCCGATGATGTACTCCTCGTCTCTTTTGTTCCTCGCTCCGCACTCCTCACAGTAGTGCAACTGTGACAGAATACCGGACCAGAGACAGTAAGCGGCGCCCCTTCTCCCAGTGTTTGTTTTTTGGTTTTGAAAGTGTTTTGTTTTCCTGTTTTTCCCCGTGGCATGGAAACCGCTGCACGTTTCGCTGCGCCGTTGTCAAGCCCGCCGGCTGCTCCGAAGACAAGTCCGTCAGCCCCGGCTTCCACAAGTCCGCCAGCCGTTCCCGAGTCAGGCCCGCCGGCCGCTGTTGACCCAAGCCCGCCGGCCGCCCAGTTCACCCGGAATCAGAAGAGGAGGAAGAGGAGAAATGACTGGCTCAGGGCCCTCTTCCTCACATGAGAGCGCACTCGAGTGTTCACTTCAGTGTCGGCTCGTGCCCCAGAACTCGCTCCAGTGTCGGCTCCAGCCACAGAGCTCGCTCCAGTGTCGGCTCCAGGCCCTGAGTTGGATCCAGTGGCTCGTGCCCCAGACCCCGCTCCAGGGTCGGCTCCAGCCACAGAGCTCGCTCCAGTGTCGCTCCAGCCCCAGAGCTCGCTCCAGTGTCGGCTCCAGCCCCAGAGCTCGCTCCAGTGCCAGCTCCTCGAAAACGCCTTGCTGTGCCTGCTCCTCCAGAGCACCCTCCAGTGTGCCAGCTCCTCGTAAGCGCTTCCCAGTCCCTGAATCTAGCCCAGTGAGGGCTCCTGTTCCCGAGTTTAGCCCACGGAGGGTTCATGTTCCTATGTCTGGCCCACGGGGGGCCTCGGAGCCGTAATCGTCCCCAAGTATTTTTTTTCCCGACATGGCCTCCTGAGTTCCCTACTCCGCCATGGCCGCCTGAACTGTCTGCTCTGCCATGGCCTCCTAGTCTGCCTGCTCCGCCATGGTTCATGTTCCTATGTCTGGCCCACGGGGGGCCTCGGAGCCGTAATCATCCCCAAGTATTTTTTTTCCCGACATGGCCTCCTGAGTTCCCTACTCCGCCATGGCCGCCTGAACTGTCTGCTCTGCCATGGCCTCCTAGTCTGCCTGCTCCACCATGGCGCCCCGAACTGCCAGATCCGCCATGGGTCCCGGAACGGGCGCCGCACTGGAGGCCTTCCGTCCTGGAACCCTGCTCCTAGAGGCCTCCAGAGCACCCACCCCCTCCCCATTGGATGTTGTATGGCGCAGGACATTTTCTTTTTTCATCTAAACTTAAGCATTCAAGTAAGAAAAACAAATAGTACAATGTAAAAATCACTTAAGTTTGTTCATTACAAATAAATTGATTATTAAAACTACAAAAGCAGTTGTAATCAAGTGCAGTGAGTGATTCCCTATTTTCGTTTATTGTTTGATTAACACTAATGCAACAGATGGCCTATATTAAATAGTGTAATGCATGGATCTAATATAATGTTACACATCCAATGTTTTTCCCCAACAGTTCCCCAAATGTTAACATAAGAAATAACTGATTATATATGTGTGAATTGGCTACTTAAATACTGTATTTCTGTGTATTTCTGTATATTTATCGGGATCGTGCGCTGGCAGAAGCATCTTTATGCGGGCGCTTCGGATGACAGTCAGCGCGAGCGGAGAAAAGGTACTCCTCTCATAAAACGTACAAATAAAGATACTTTTAGATGTTAAATTTTTATTTGGAGCATTGAGATCACTAGACAAGGGCTTAATATACTAATTTTTGTGAAAAACTCAAATTCGAACAAAATCAACCTTTTGCACTTTTTTTGCCTGTAGCTCAAAATGAGCCTGTGCACATTCCGACTCATTTGGACAGCACGGGTCACATATGAAAAATGCACAGTTCCTCTCAAAAATCTGTGAATGACAGGTGTCATTGGCTGGGCATAAATGAGCAGCATCAATCCAGCAATGATGAGGCCAAATGAATTTCCCAAGGTGAGACCACCAACATTTATTTCAGCCTCCACACAGCACAGTTCATCCAGTAATTTTGACTGAGGGCCCTGTTGTTGGTCATTTGCACCTGGCATTGCAAGTCAATCATTCAAAACTGAGGACGCCAACAGTTCATTAGAGCCTTGCGGCTTGATATACACCGTTTATGATGATAAACTGCAGAAGCAATCTCAGTTCACCATCTTTCCTATCTCTTCAGAGAGTGTCATTAGAATAATGGTATCATCAGGGTCCCAATTTCACAGCACTGAGCCACAGCGGCAGCTGGAATGAATTGTGCATCCTAAAGACTCTGTGCACAATTGTCTCGGTGGCATTAATTGGTAATGACTGCATCCTTTTCATTACAGGAATTTAATGCAAAAAGTGATTACACTCACAACACCCTTATCCAGTGAACAGTGATCAGTACAGAATTAGTTTTATTATGATGATGGCTCTATAGCTATAACTATTCTAGGAATACAATTATCCGTCTCTGTCATGTAGATGTAAGGAGGATGTTGGCAGTGTTTATACCATTTCTCCTCTTAACCATTCAGCTCTTAAAAGCATGAAAACAAATGCAAGGGGCCTTATAACGAAACTCTCCTGATGGTCCTTCACGTGACACGTGTGAACTTGTGGGGGTGGGATTACGAGTGTAGGCAGATATTTCATTCCGGCGCTGCTGCAATGGTGCTTCTGTGTGTGCTAGTGAACTCCCTACGAGCAGATCGGTGGTCTCTACCAATGTTTGAACTAGAAAAGTTTGACAAAGTTTGGCTGAATTTAAAAAAATGCTCAAAAAACCTATCACTTCAAATGTTGTTCAGGGCTTATGTGCTTTGAATACCTCAATATATATACAAGGATAGTTCAGCCAAAAATAAAATACTGTCATCATTTACTTACACTCATGTCCTTCCAAAACAGCATGACGTCTTTCTACCGTGGAACACAAAAGAGATATTTTGGGTACAAACAATATTTCCAAACAACAAAATAAATACATTTTTGTACTCTACAGAAGAACTGAGGTCATATACAGTAGGTTTGAAACAGGTAAATGGTGACAGAATTTTCATCTTCAGGTGAACTATTCCTTTAAGACTTGGTTTAGATGGATGGACAGATTGATAGATACTGTATGTGAATGTATGGATAGATGGATAGATAGGCAGACAGACGAAAAGACGATTATACAGATGGACAGACAAATGACAGATACAAAGACGATTGAATAGATGGATGGACAGATATACAGTACAGATGGATGGACGGATGATTGAATGGATGGACGGACAGACGGAAGGACAGATGGATGTTGGATAGATGGTTGGATAGATGGATCAATGAACAGCTAGATATATAGATAGATGGACGGACAGACGGATGGATGGATGGATGGATGGACGGACGGACGGACGGACGGTTGGTTGGTTGGAATATTTTGGGTACAAACAATATTTCCAAACAACAAAATAAATACATTTTTGTACTCTACAGAAGAACTGAGGTCATATACAGTAGGTTTGAAACAGGTAAATGGTGACAGAATTTTCATCTTCAGGTGAACTATTCCTTTAAGACTTGGTTTAGATGGATGGACAGATTGATAGATACTGTATGTGAATGTATGGATAGATGGATAGATAGGCAGACAGACGAAAAGACGATTATACAGATGGACAGACAAATGACAGATACAAAGACGATTGAATAGATGGATGGACAGATATACAGTACAGATGGATGGACGGATGATTGAATGGATGGACGGACAGACGGAAGGACAGATGGATGTTGGATAGATGGTTGGATAGATGGATCAATGAACAGCTAGATATATAGATAGATGGACGGACAGACGGATGGATGGATGGATGGATGGACGGACGGACGGACGGACGGTTGGTTGGTTGGATGGTTGGTTGGTTGGATGGATGGATGGATGGATGGATGGAAGGAGGGATGGATGGATGGTTGGACGGATGGATGGAAGAACAGAAAGATGGATGGATGAAAGAACAGATAGATGGATGGGTGGTTGGATGGATGGATGAAAGAACAGATGGTTGGATGGATGGATGGATGAAAGAACAGATGGATGGATGGATGGACGGATGGACGGATGGATGGATGGATGGATGAAAGAACAGATAGATGGATGATGGATGAAAGAATAGATAGAAGGATAGATAGACAGACAGACGACAAGACGAATATACAGATGGACAGACAAATGACAGATACAAAGACGACTGAATAGATGAATGGACAGATATACAGTACAGATGGATGGACGGATGATTGGATGGATGGACGGA